TACCTTATTGTTCGTTGTATGACTGTGGGTAAGTTAGAGTATTGAATAGCATAGAGAATTAAATGCAGAAATATTTAACCAGTAGAAACATCTCATCTGTGGGTATGTCATTATAATATTACTGTGGTTGGTGTGTGAAGTTCTTCCAAAAATATCAGTAGCCACTTAATCTTTTCAACCATCATTAAATAATTTCACAAAACAGTTAACCATGGATGTGTACACATATAGAAATTTGCTTTCTTCCTTACACTTGGTTCTAATAATTAAGAGTTGGAGCTTTCTAAACATGTCATTTTCTAAATAATAATTTGCCAGAGACTTCCTGACAAACACTTGTGAGCTATGTGACTGCAAATACATTTTTGTTATGTTATTGAAGTTGGAAAAGAAACTTGTGTTCTGTGGCTGTTGATGAATAGAGACTGTACATGCACATCCTCTTGCATCTGGTTGAGTGTGCAACTGTATAGTATTATATTTTTTCTTGATTGTTTCAACCTTTCACACCTGGACATGAGTCTTTTGTGTATGTCATAACTTTTTATAGTATTGCATTCAAGATTTCATTTAACAACTTTATTATCAATGTAAGACAATAAACTTGACATAAAAATGTAGTTTACAATTCAAATTTGTATAGTATCTAAGTATTAATATCTTAATTTCAAAAAGAAACATTAAAAACTTTGTAGTCTTCATTTTTCTGGATCACATGACATGTTTGAGCTTCGATTTCTCCTTTTCAGAATTTTCTAACATAAAAAATGAACTTTTGCTGAAAACAAATGTTGATATTAACTTAGGAAGTTCTAATAGTTATGCAAATCAAATATAAAAACTATAAGATTAAAAAAGTTTATCCTTAGCATGAAAATCACCATTCAATCAGATTGACTCAGAGAAGGCTTCAGAAATTCACAGACAAACCTTAATAGAAATGCTTTAAGAATGTAATATTTACTAAAAGCTTGCCCAGTTTTGTGAAGACTCATTTAGTAGATCCAGAATTCTAACAAATGTTTGTATTGCTTCACAGTTACTCGATCAATTTGACAGTCTTTAGACAGATGGTTGAATATGATATTGAAGACTGAAATAGCTGTTGAAATAATTCTTTAGCTCACCATAGCTTATCTTTTATTCATATTTACTCCTTAGATTTTGATACAGACATCTTTACATAAAAATAAAAATGTTGTAATATTTTACAATCTATGGTAACAATTTACATATATATTTGGTTTGTCTCTGTGTCTACTCAAAATAAAAGGTAGTATGGCACGATTACAGAGGTAGTGAAGTTAAAAAGTAACCCAAAAACACAGCAAGCTACTTCTGCTAAAATGCGAAATTTCTCTAGCAGAGAACAAGATAATTCATACAAGTTTAAACCTACAAACACCAGCCATTCTCACAAGCTTCTTCCAAAGCACACAGCTGAATGGAAAACAAATTGTATGAATGGTATCTGGCGTGTTATAAACAGAAGTATGTTTCTTCAGCTTGGCAATTAGTGATATTTGATAATCAGTTAATCATCTAGATCATTAATAGATTACATCCAACTAATCAGTTGTTCTCACAATATGGCTAATAAAAAGTTCAAATTAAAAACATTATTCCATCATTATCCAATCAGATGGCTAAAAACACACAATATCACTCTAAAAATTTGGTTTCAGTACCTGTTAAAATAGAGGACGTATGACCAATTCTGTAGCTTTATGCTTAACAACAAACAAATTCAATGGCAATATTTTGATTGCATGGATAGTTGAAATAAGTGGAAACCTTATTTCTGATTAGTTGAATATTTTTGAGTCATGACATTAATCATAGTTTCAATTTTTGTGACTAATTGATGCTCCCAGGTAATCAGATTATATCAGGTTAATCACCCAACTTTAATGCTCCCACATTAGACAGAGTATAATTTAAGTTACAAGGAAATTTGTTATTGTCTTGCTGGTGATAGGACATTTCAAAAACTGCGTAAAACATATCACAAAACGTTTTCAAGGGTTTATAATGGTTGCAGATTATAAATATAACAATAAATTAAACACTCAGAGCAGTGAGAAAAATCTTAAAGTGAACCCTGCTTACTGACATTCTGGCATGCTGTCACCACTATACTCTGAGGAAATACTACCTATGTACAGCCACACATCCAAGTTCCTGTACAAGACAAGAAATTATTTCTGTGCTTTACATAGACACTTCCCATGAAATTTTAGGTCTTTGAGTTGTTCAAATCGCTCTTGGAAGATGTTGTCTGTGCAAGTTTGACAGATTGGAAAGCATATACAAAAGGGGACAACATTTCTTCATGCTTTGTGTAAAGCATCTTTCAGAGGAAGTGTTGTAGAGCTATAGTCCATAATAGTACAGTCACACAGAGCATTGTCAGTGTTTGAGGAAAGGATAGTATTAGACTAAGCACTTATCCTTGTATCATTGTTGATGAACATGAACACCATTCTGTATTAATCTTCTAACAACAAAGAGTTAAATCATTAATGTTACTGTCAGAGACAAACTTCACTTTCTGTATGATAAGGTTTCTTTTTAGGACTTTATCACCCACGTGTGGGTGCATTCTACCTTGAAAACAAAACTGAACCATTGAATTAAAAAAATTATATACAGAAAATAGCCTTGAAATTGTTTAGTACAAAAATTCAGAGTTGAAATTTTTTCAATAAGAAAGGTTTATTTATTTAATTTTATATATCAAAATAAATAAATAAAAATTACTAATTTAGATTTTGGGTTGATTTCAGGGAGCTTTAGATGAAATAATTAGTGTTTGTAAGTTACCTGAATTTTTTGTGAGATAATATGCCACTGATAGCCCCTAGGATGAAAGTTATGATAGTTTTGAACATGATAGTACTGATTTAACCTAATTTATAGATTTTTAGCTAATTACTTTTTTATGAACTAAGTTGTTTTGGTGAGATACAACTGCCTATATATCTGTTTCATGAAGTCACAGACTAGTAATGTAAGCTTTTTTTCCATTTTCAACAGTATTTAAAAGAACGGTTTTGGTGTTTTGTTTCATGATTCTCTTAAGCCATCTAAGCAATGTGCTGTTGCTAGCAGCAGGATAAATAGGATTTTAGGTTGTCTCTTCAGAAATATTGAATATGAGTTGAAAGAGGTTGCAATGTCATTGGTTAATGCCACATTTGGAGTACAGTGTTCAGTTTTGGGCTCTTTACCTTAGAAAGGACATTGAACTGTTGGAAAGGATTCAGAGGAGGGCTAATAGGATGATTGATACCTTGGATGTAAAAGGTGAAGATCTTTAATTTGTTTTCTCTTGAAAAGAGTTAGAGGGAATCTGTTTGAGGTTTTTAAGATTGTTAAGGGAATTGATATTGTTAATGGCCCATCTTTTTTCATATTTAATGGTGAGAATGGTAAGACTAGGGGACACATAAATTTTGGCAAGGTAGTAGTCATCTTCACCTTAGACAGTTTTATTTTACTAACAGGGTGTTTGGCCTTTGAAATGGTTTGCTTTCAGGTATGATAAATGCAGTTAATTTAAGGGAGTTTAAGGGAAAACTTGATAAATATTTGAATGACGAAATCTGGTTATGTTTTTTTTATTTAATGTTTAGTGTAATTTAGTGAATAGAACAGTCTAGATGGACCTAACAGTCGCTTGTTGTCCTTTAATGTTGTTGTAAGCCAAGATGGCTTTGAGTTCAGTAGAGATGTGCATAAAGATTGGAAAAAGTAACAAAACTTAGCTTTGTGATATGTTGCTAGAAGAAAAGGTGTTTGTGAACACCTTTTGCCATAATTACAGCTCTGATTCTTTTTTTTTAAAGCTTGCAAGAAGCTTGTTTTGTCATTTTATATTTTACGTGAATTATGATGTTGCAGTATAATAGGAAATGTTTTACATGTAACAGAATGAAGTAGTCTTAGTGCAGTTATTTTGTACATGACCAAGTTTCTTCTACTATTTACATCAGACTTTATTAGCCTAAGTAACTACTTGAATGTAAAAAAAATATATATATGTTTATATTTTATATACATATAACATTGGTTTAAAAGTTTTCACATATTAAATGAAACCTTCTGATTAGAAATAAAAAAGAAAAAGCTGGCTTGCTTATAATTTTGGTGAAATACCTATTTTTATTGTATACCAGTGTTTGTAAACACACTGAAACAGTGTGTGGTGTTTTTCAAATCAAAACAAAGAGAAAATTTGCAGTTTATGAAGAAAAACTATGTAAGAAAGTTTTAAAAGAATGTAGGTAGACACAAAAATCCATAATTTGATCTAAATGAAGGTAAGCATTTTCAGTTTGCTAAAACAAATCACAATGAAATCTTTCAAAAATCAAAATTTTGAAAACTTTCAAACTGCAAGTTCATATAAATATCATATATAAAAGTAAGATATTTGCAGAAGCTACATAATCTGTAAAAAGTTATAAACTTTCAAACTATTCCATCCAGTAATTTTTTTATTTTTGTTGCATTTTAATATAAACTGTATGATAGGTGCATCAAATTGATGCACATGTGTCTGAGAGAATTAATACTCTCTTAACCTACACCGTTGTTAGGTCTTCACTGTACCCACTTTTCAGTGCAAACATGCTTGTTATATTTTATTGGATGCTAGACACCTTAAAATTCAATTCCAAACCTTTTTATAAAATATGTTTAGATTAATATGTATATAAAACATTAAATAATAACAATTTCAGTTATTCAGTGTTTTGAAGTGTATTTTGATAATTCATTAATTTTACATTTGCGTTGGTTATGTAATACAAAGCTGAAATAACCAGTTGTCAAAGTTTTATACATATTTAGGATCACTTTTATGGTACCTTTTAGCAATAATGGGCTTTCTGAGTTATGATTTATTAAAAACAGTTTAGCTTTTGTGTAAGTTATCATTCTTACTGTATTTTTATTCAATCTGTGGTCAGGTATACATCTCTTGGAAATCAAACTAATACTCGTCCAAACCCTCGGCTGCTAGTCCAGGAAGACAATTGTTCTAGGTATCGTCCTGCATACATGTTAAAGGATCCCAGTGAAGAAAGAGAGGGGAGGAATTAAATTGCCCAACTTGTTACATCTTTAATAGGTTTGTGTCATTTAGGTTTGAAAAACGGTATTAACCAGAGTAATTCTTAATGTCTAACTCATTCAGATAATTTTATCACCTTTTTTCTCGACAAAGTGTTTAAACAGATTTCTCTACACAAGTGCTGTGATAATTAACGTACTTGATTGTGATTTTTAGTTGCTTAGTGGCTTTATGTTTAGATTATATTTAATAATTATTATTTAAAAAAATAATAAAAATTGCAACACACCATTTTCAGGCATGAATTCCCAGGTTACTGTTTCCAGCACTGGGGCTAATCAGCCCTCTTCTATTCCACCTTTGTTATTTAGCATTTCTCAAAGGTAAGGGGCGTCACTCTTGGTTGAGGCTGTCTGTGATCTTATTAGTTGTGAAATGGAGTCATATATTTGGTCTGGGGGGGGGGGGTTCTGAGGCTGCTTTGTTGATGATCCAGGACTGTCTGATGAGAAATTGGACTCTCTTTTTCAAGAGGTTTTGTTTACTAGGTCGGCTTCTCGTGAGGCCAGTTTGGATCAGCCACCTCATGCTCCATTTCTTCAGTTAATGAATCAGGGTTATGAGGTTTGGGGGCTTTCTCCAGTTGCCTTTGAATCTACTCCTTTCTTGATGGTTGAAAGGTCTGAGGGTGACTACTTAGTTTTTCCTCCTTCACCTGATATTGCTGTTCATGCTGGGAGATTTACTGCTCTATTATGTGACAGGATAGATATAACTTGTCCCCCTTGTTTGTCTGAACAGCATGCTTTGGCTTACAACTGCCAGGTGGACATATATTTTGATCCCACAGACTAGATCCTGTTTGGGATATGAGGGGTTCCAGACTGGACCATGTGATCACTTTGAATAGATTACAATTTCTTGGATTTGTTTGACCCTCACTCCTGTTCTAATATATTTTTCTTCCCTCCAAAAAACTTTTGTCGGAAGTCTATCAGTGGTCCCCACATCAATTTGAGGATGTCTTGGGTCTTGCGCTGACTTCTGTCTTGGTAAGATTGGCAGCATCTCCTCTTTCTTTGGTTTCTTGGCTTGTATGTTGTTGGGATTTATTGGGTAGAGATGCCTTGCTAGAGGGAGTTCATCTACCTGCTGTAGCTCTCTGTGAGTTACATGAAGCTCCTTTTCTTCGTCCCTTGATTTTCACAGGCATCGCAGAGGCATTGGAATCATGAATTTATGTCACCTGTTTGCTTTTTTCCTTGTTGTTGGCCTCTAGACTTTCTTTGGCTGTGGAAATGAGGTTATGACAATTGAAGGCCACCTGGCATTCCTTTATCACAGATCCATGGGTACTTCAGGTTCTGGTGTCAAAGTTGGTCATTCTGTTAACTTCACTTCAATTATCCTCCCAACCTGTTGTATATCCATCTTCATCAGATCCACTGAGTGTGGATCTTTATTCCAAGGCTATCAGAAAGTTATTGGTCAAGGGGGTGGTAGAGAGAGTCAATCCCATTCTTCTGGGATTTTATTCCCGTTTATTTGTTATGCCCAATAAAATTGGAGATTGGCAGCCAATCGCCGATTTTTCTCATCTTAACCAATTTTTAGATCCTCCTGGTTTCACAATGGAGTCCTTTCTCAACCTACCTTTGTATTCTTCAGCATGTCTGTGGATGATCAAGTTCAATGTTGCTGATGCATATCTCCACATTCTCATAGCAAAGTTATCCACCACTATCTTTGTTTTGTGTACAGGGATCAGGTTTTTCAGTTCAGAGCTCTACTATTTGGCTTATCATTTACACCATATGTCTTTGGCAGAGTCATACAAGTTTTTCTTGTTAACTTCATACTTTGGGGCTATGCATACTCCATTATCTGGGCTGGTTACTTTTGGAACCATCTCATTAGTTGGCAGAACAACATACTCAGATTCTCCTTTTAGAAGCTACCAAGGCTGGCTTTCTTATCAGAGCCACGAAATCCAATATGTTTTATGCCAGGCTCAGCCAACTCCCGTCCAGCTCCAGGCTATGGAATTGTTCTATCTCTTTTGGGTATGTAAGCATTCCTCAAATCTCTGATTCCTGCACACGAGCACACATGTGGTCCCTTCAGTGATCACTGCATGACCAGTGGATCATGAATTCCGATGCACTGGATCATCCAGTCTCCTTAATTAGGAATAACATCTTAGTTCTTGAGTGGTGGTTGGATCAGATCAACACTACCATAGGTGTTCTTATACCTCCCCCCTTGTCCTGAGTTTCATCTCTTCACAGATGCCTCACTTCAGGGGTGGGGTGTGTATATTGAAGGTTAGGAAATCCAGGGTCTATGGATGGAAGACAAATCTTCCACAGCAATATTTTAGAACTTCTTGTTGTCCATCAGGTAATGATTCAAGGTCTAGATCTATTGCAGGGGAAAATCATTATGATTAATTCAATCAATTCCACAGTGGTTTCTTACATTTCCTGTCATGGGGAATGCATTTTCAGGACCTTTGTTTTCGAACTTTGGATATTCTCTACTGAGCTTACTCCCATTATATCAGCCTGTTCACTTGCCATGTTCCAAGGTTGATAAATTATTAGCAGATCACCTGTCTTGGCCCAATCAAATTTTTATCAATTGAATGGATGCTCCATCATGAAGGTTTTTCAGTGGATTTGGTCTCAGTTCAAGACTCCGATGATCGATGCATTCGCCACTCATTGAAACTCTCAACTACAGCCATTTTTGGTCCCCAGTACCTGATTCTTGGACAGTGGCAATAGATGCATTCAGTCAATATTGGATGGGATTACACCTCTGTGCCTTTCCCCCAATTCATCTGTTACCCAGAGTTCTGGCTATGATTCGATCTTCTACTTGAGAGCTGTTGGTAGCCCCAGATTGGCTGGCCCAACCGTGGTTTCCTCTTCTACAATATCTTCAAGACGGTCTTCCTCTTTGGCTATCTCTGTTGAGGCAACATCAGTCCAACATTCTACATCCAAATTCCCAAGCTCAAACATCATGGTCGGAAGTTATGCAGTCCTTCGCATGGCATTGGGGTTTAACTTATAAAGTTGACTTGTATTTGTCTCAATCTATCTGTAGACCCATAACAGCCATTTATCAACAGAAATGGCACACTTATAGCCAGTGGTGTCTCATGAGGAAGTTGGACCCACTTCACCCAAACGTTCCCACCATATCTTATTTTTTGACTCGGGTCAAGCTTTATATAAAGCAAATTTATCGACTACTTTTTGTTATTCTATACATCGAAAAGTTTTTGAATCCCCAGTGCTAACCAACCTTCTCCAATCATTTAGAGTCCTTCTTCCCAAACAGCCTTTTCAATTACCCAGCTGGGATATTAGGGTGGTATTACATGCTTTGTCTCAACATCCATTCGAGCCTTTAGCCTTATGTACCATGTATCACCTTTTCTTTAACCCTATTGCCACAGGTATCCTTTGCTGTCCATGACACAAAGTTTTAGTGGCTTACATTCAAAATTTTATGTAACTACTTTTTGTTTATAAGTTATACCAATTAGTATAGCATAAAATCTTAGCTAATAATCCATATTTTAATAGAATATAAGTTCATTCTAATTCTTAATTCTATTCTATGAGGCAATATTTAAAAAAATCCTGAATTTGCCCTTGTGTGACACATGTGACACATTTTCTCTAGATATATTCTCTTCTCTATTTTATCCACCACCCCTTCAAAAAGTATGAAATTAAAGGTAAATTACTCCCTATAAAATCATCATTGCTCAGACAAATCATAATTTTATGGCCTTCAATTTTGTTTGATTACAGAGCTATCAAATAGAAAATCAGACCCCTCCTGCCACACCCACCTGTCACATCTTTTCTTTCAGGATTTTTTCATAGTTCTCTCTTATGTTTAATTATATATAAGTAGCTTGGATGAACTTGTAACAGTTCTTGTTGCATAGTTAGAAAGCCAGAAAAATTTTGAGAGTTAGGGGAAATTGTTTACTTTTTGCATGTTATTAGTCTATGTTCTTTGGTGCATTATTTGATTAAATGAAAATTATTTAGTGTATTACTACCATCAGTCTAATAAAGGTAGGGTTAAGTGTCATTAACAATTGACAGCAAGAAAAAAAGAAGATTGGGTAAGTACGTTATTTTGTGTTTTTCATGTTTATTCTTTATTTATCATTATAAAAATAAATAAAATGTAAAAGTAGGGATCTTTTTAGGTTAGTTAAGATTAAATTAGGTAAAAATAAATAATAATATAATGTTACATGAAGCAAGCACGCAGCAGCTCATAATTAGCTCATGGGTAATGTAATTTGATAGCGTGAAGTGAGCTGCACGTTCCCTCGAATGATTTACATGGTTAGACATGGTTCAAAGGTCAATAAAACAATAAAATTTAATTATAACTAGATGTATACTGTTAGGAGCTTAAAGTTACTTAGGATAAACAAATGTAGTTTCATTTTACAATTTGAAATCATTCCCCAAAGAAAAAAAAGGTAATTTAGATTTATTTAGGTTTTGTTTTTGGTGGTTACAAGGTCAGTCAAATTCACCAATCCCATATAGAGATAGGGTAGGAGAAACAACAGATAAAATATAAAGTTTTACTGAAAAAAACGTTTCAAATGTATTTAGGAGATTTTAGGGATTACACAAAGGAAATTTGAGATTTTTTGAAATGAAGAAAAGTATTTTTAGTCTTAACATGAAAATTACTAGCACACAGACTATTCCAAACAAATACTCAATATATTCATGGACAAATCTTTATTTTAGTTTATTAAAAATACTTCATTAAAAATATGGTTTTTTGTATGTGAAAGACTTATAAGCCCATGTTGAGAGAGTTAATGGGTATTTTTTGTTGATGCTGGCATGTGGATGTCATAGGTTGGAGTTGTTTGCACTCTATTTGCACAGGACTCTTTATCACTCCACTTCTGTCCTGCTATACCCTGATAGTTCCTTTTTTCTTAAGACTCTGGCAGCCAGAGAAGGGGATAAATCCTTCTCACCAATTCTTTTGCCAGCTAT